ACAGTCTGCGCATTAGGGCCTTTCAAAGACCAAAACAACTTTGGAGTTCAAAGTGGCGAATGGACGAAAACAAACACGCAAATTTAGGTGAAATAACGCAGAACTTTACGAATTTATAGACATGCAAATTTAGAAGGAAAAAAGGAGGGAATCTCCCAGATTCATGTTCTAAACATGAAGACTTTGGAAAAAAGTTGAAAACTGATGAGACTAAAAACACAAATTTAGAAGCAAATTTATGAGATTTTAAGATTTTAAGCACGTAAATTTAGAAGAAAAAATGTAGTAAAATTACAAGACTAGAGATGTAAATTTACGGTAAAAACACAGAAATTTACGAGATTAGAAACATGTAAATTTAGAAGGAAATAGCAGCAAATCTCTGAGATTAGAAACATGAAAATTAAGGAAAAAGTTGAACACCTATTAGACTAAAAAGAAAAATGTAGCAAAATCGCAAGACTAAAGATGTAAACTTACGAGAAAAAATTAGCTAATTTACGAGATTACAAACATGGTAGTAAATGTACCAGAACAAACACGCTAATTTACGAGTAAAATCACAGAAATTTACCAGATTAGAAACATGCAAATTAAGGAAAAAGTTGAACATTTATGAGACTAAAAACTTTACAAGAAAAATTGTGCGCCTATTCTTGTAATGTTAGAACTTTATTGGTCTCTTTATTTCATAACACTTCTAAATGTGTCTAAAGAACGTTAATGGAAAACGGCTGCTGGTGTCATTGATATAAATAGACAATAATCTGAGGGCAAAGTAAAGTGGATCCAGACTTAATAAGGACTTGGATCTGCTTTCAAGCAGGACTGGTCTCCTGTAACCCAGCATGGGTCAGGGTTTCCCAGGGACCAGAGCCCACCTGAATAGTTGGAGTAGTGGAAGCATCATGCTGTGGGGATGATCTTTTTCTCTACCTTAGCGATTAAAGTCATTTCTGTGCCTTCACATATCGCTAGCAGGTTTCCAGTGAACTAAGTCTGCAGACTGACCGCTGAGCAGAGGCCTGTTCAGGGTGAAGGATGGTGGTAGACGCTCTATCTGAGCCAGCCTCTGGTACATGGCTCTGGACAGGTGGTCGGCGTGGTACAGGCTGCCCAGGATGATGCTGGAGAAGTAGACGGGCTCCGTGAAGTAGGTCAGCAAAGAGCCTTGGAGTCCGACCACGTTCCACCTTTGGGTTTATATAAAAATACAGAGAAGAAGCTGAAAAACATTCGCTGAAAGGTTGCCGTCCTGAAACCGCCCATACGTTCTGCTCAGGATGATCAGGTGTTCATTGCTCATCTGTTTGGATTCTGAGAGAAAAACACTTTTATATTAATAGCATTGCAAAGAAAATGGCGCGCTAGCTTTTGGACTAAAGTTAATATCAGATGAGAAATACCTTATTCTGAAGGAGCCCACATGCCCAGAATGGTTATACAACAGTTAGCCTGTCCTGATCCGCGCGTACCTGGCCATCTTATCACTGCAGGACATGGTGAGCAGCCTCTCGCCCTGCAGGACGCCCTCCCATGTCTGAGCGGTGCTACCACAGCCCACAGGGACGGTTCCTTCACCGGACTGGATCTTGGTCCTCAGCCGCCCACGGGCCTTCCTATTAGGGAGTCCGTCGCTCGGATCTGTTAGGAAAGACACCAGGAGAACGGAGCGCCGAGCTAAAACCTCTGAACGAGGAGCTGAGAAGCTGTCCTCACCCTCAGCTGCAGCTTCGTGAGGTGAAAAGATGCGGGCGTCTCCACAGGGGGAGGAGCTGATGTACAGGTGGAACTGGACCTGTTCTTTCAGCCTGAAGCCTCGTCTGTCTTCACAGCGGGTGAAGATGGAGCTGTGCTGTTCCTCCTCATTGGTGCTGAGGATTAAATCAGCATCAGAGATGATTAGCTTCATCTCTTCTGTGGTTCGTAGATCTGAATAATCAGATACAGCAGCAAGACTCGGGTTCCTTCCATGAGTATCGGTGAGTGTAGGTACCAGATCTGCTCTCTTCCTGCTTCATGCTGGTGGCGTTACGCCATATGATCGGCTGACCATCGCCACGATGACGTAAAACATTGCTGTTGCCCAGACAACGATCATAACATGAAACAGCGTCCATGTGATGAGGCGGGAGCATCTTTGGCGTTAGCAGGGGTGGATCTAGGATTCTCGGAGATCGGGGGCTTAGCTTACCGCAGCAGAGAACCATCATCCAACCCAATCAACTTCATTTATATAGCAGATAAAACAGAAAGTGCTGCACATATAGAATACATAATAAAATCATAAAATAATATAAGAGAAAAATAAAAAATATAAATAAAATGAATTATAACAATCAGCTAAAACAGTAAACAACACATAGAACCATAGAACTCACACAGTGAAGGAAGAGAATAAAGGTGGGCCTTCAGACCAGACTTAAAACAACCAATCAAATACTACCAAAGGACCAACCAAGGACTGACCAAGGACCAACCAAGGATCAACCAAGGGCCATCAAGGACCAGCCAAGGGCCAACCAAGGACTACCCAAGGACCAACCAAGGGCCATCAAGGACCAACCAAGGACCATCAAGGGGTCAGCCAAGGACTGACAGAGGACCAGCCAAGGTCCAGTCAAGGTCCATCAAGGACCAGCCAAGGACCAACCAAGGGCCATCAAGGATCAGCCAAGGACTGACCGAGGACCAGCCAAGATCCAGTCAAGGTCCATCAAGGACCAATCAAGGACCAACCAAGGACCAATCAAGGACCAATCAAGGACCAACCAAGGACCAA